TTTTTTTTTTTTTTTTTTTTTTTTTTTTTTTTTTTTTTTTTTTTTTTTTTTTTTTTTTTTTTTTTTTTATTTTCTGTGTTTGTGATTTGTTTGCTTGATACAATCGCGTCTGCCCGGACCATGACCTTCGTCCGTTTGTTTTTCTGTTCTGTTTATTGTTGCATTCAAGGTCATGGCCGGGCAGAAGTGCGCATCTCTTGCTTCTTTGCTTTTTCTTTCTGTTCTTCCCTTGTCAGACTTATAGATTACTACTCTAAGTGAATCCAGCTTTTATCTTCATTTAGACATCATTTGTACAGAGTAGTAGCAGTATGTGCAACCTGGAACCCTGTACCAAGGCACCTATGTAAGGATACGGCCACGTTGAAATACCACGTGACAACACGTGACAATATAAATTTTCTGTCAGCTTTACCTTGAAATATCATCGCCATGACACAGCTACCGTCGAGTTTCCCATTGTCGATCTACTAAACTTGTTATGAGGATATCTTACCTGTTAGCGGACTCGTACTTGAAATCCGGATCTCTCGACGTCAAATCCAGCCGAAAATGGGTGCCAGCGCGAAAAGAAAGAAAGAGAAGCAGCAAGACTTCCAAGTACGTTTGACTGACCGATGATAAAAAAAAAAAAAAAAAAAAAAAAAAAAAAAAAAAAAAAAAAAAAGAAAAGAAAAGAAAAAAAAAACCAAGCACAGAAACAAAGGAAAAGACCTAAAAGAGTGAGCGACAGTGCACCAATAATCCCTTAGTTGAGGTATGGGCGGAACATTCATAAGACAAGTATGCAGGTTATCTGCATCAATGACTCATGCAAAAGTACATCAGTACTACAGGAGGTGGAGGTACAGGCGACAACCAGTCAGATCAGAGCAAGCAAAATCGACAGGACATTTCGTATCTTTTCTGCTTTTGACGATTTTCGAATTTTTTGAGGGTTTTCCGCTTTTCTCAACCCTGTCGTCAAGCTCGGGGGAAACGGTTCGAAATCGGTGTGCAAAATCATTGCATATGACCTTCGGGTCAATTGGATAGATCAAGTAGTCATGAGGGCAATGTAGCTTCAGCTCATGACCCAACCTGACCCTTAGAATAGAATGCGCGGTGAATCCGGTTCACTCTATGCTATTGGAGTGCGGGTGCGGGAAGAGGCGAGGCCCGACCGACCCTCGTATAGGATTGGGAGCACCTGGCTTCAGTGGCAGGGACGAATTGGTCGAATGTGACGGTTGAGGCAACGAGACGAACGATGTACGAGCTATCGCTTGGTAGTTGCGGTTTTCAACGGTAGTGCTCGACCGGACGGTAGATGCGCGAGGACTCCTTGACGCGCTCGACGCGCTCCGCGACGTCGGAGTCATAGAGAGAGCCCCGGCTGGGGGAGCCACGGTTAGGGGATGGGTAGACGATGACAGCGCGAGGGCGGCCGGTGAGGGTGCGGGGTTCGCGTTCGATGATCTCAGTGACGGTGTGCGAGCGACGGGGAGGGACGTAGTAGGTGCGGTCGTAGCTGATGACCGGCTCCTCCCTGGACACGGGCTTCTGGGCAGCCTCTTCCTTGCGGTGCAGGAGGTGGAAGCCGTCCTCGATTGCCATGAGGAGGTGACGGGTTGCCTTGCAGTCGATCGGGATCTTGACCAGGGTGGGCTGGTTGAAGTCGCGGTCGACTGCAGAGTAGGCGTTCTTGTTCTTGGAGTACAGGTATGCAGTGACGTCGCGGGCGTACTGCTGGCCGCGGTTGCAGAGGGAGCGGTCCTCCGGCTCGACTCGGAGAATGGCTTTGCACGGGTCGCAGCGGCTGACGTGACCTTCGAAGGCGTTCATGACATACTCCTCGTCGGCCTCGAGCTCCCGCACGGGGAGGACGGGCTCGGAGGTGACGGCTGGGGCGGGCATGGTGTTGGTTCTTCGGAAACGGAATCTTCTACGGGTGGGAAAGCTGCGACGGTAGACAGTCTCCCGGATGGAGATGGGGGGCCAGGAAAGACGGGAGGAAACGTGAGGCGACAGCGTGACGGTAGTGGGATTGCCCGTAGTAGTTGAGTGGAAGTGAGTTGTATGATTGTGGGAGAGGTCAGTGAAGTTGAGATGGGGAGCCCATACTTATAGATCAGTACCTTGATACCTACTACCTCGAGTATACTACCTCAACCTAGCAGCGGGGACTACAAATAGAATGACGGCATTGGTCAGGGGATGGCTGCCTGGCGGATGACTCGACCTCAGGCTCATTTTAGTGTCCTTAGCGCCTTTAGTGTCTTTAGTGCCTTTAGCTGCAGGCTGTGCTTCAGTTCGTCCGTCAAGAGTCGCTCTTTGGACTGTTTCCCGGGGTTGTGATAGGTCGAAAGGCTGTTTTCTATCGGTCAGTCTTTCCCCCAGTCCAGGTGTCCCTTTCCTGTTGTAGGAGTCGGCGTCGTCATTCGTCATCCGGTTGTGAATACCTTCAATGCTTCATGTGTTACTCCTGTGGCTTGACCTCGTATCTGCGCCCCTGTGGCACACCCTCCTGGTCCTGCAATCCTGGTTTTGCTCTACTCATTATTTCATTACTGTCCGAGAACTGCAGAGCAAATGCACTCCATTGTTGAGCCTCCAGGTATTCCAGAGTCGACGGTTCAAAAGTTATTCGCTCAGTGGTGGCCTCTCTAGCGATGATCTTCCGAAACGGCCCGGTCAGAATAGGGATGGATCTGTTGAATGCTCGTCTATTCTCGGAATAATATTGTTGTCGGGGAATGACCTGCGCGTCATTTCAAGACTCGGGACAAGACGAGAGAATCAAGAATCAAGACTCCAACAAGAGACGGTTGGACCCTTGTCAGTCACAGCCTCAGCCTCCTCTGCCTTCACTCTTCAGCCTCAAGCCGCAGACTAACGAACTCGGGATTAGGGACATTGACACAGCCCCTATCACATTCACCGACCTGACACTTTGTAGCCTCCGCTTCCCTGGTTTCTCCAATCTGCCGCCCACCAGCCACAGTCCGGGTTATGGCCATCGTGTCCTGTCGAGCAGGCCTCTGACGATTGCCCATGCACCATGCACGTCATTTCTCTTCTGCAACCGTGGTTATTTCTTCAATCTCATCCCTGACACGCCAGCGGACCAGCAATGCGCCCTTTGTTCTACATGTCGCCGCAACGGCTTCTACTCCGGAGTAGCCACGGGATGCTCCACCTCCACCCCTCCCTCAATGAAGCTTACGTCCAACGCTCAAACTGGAATCCGCCTTGACCCAAGCACTTCCGTCAGTCAAGCGCGATATGCACTGATGCAGTTCGTCCCAGGTGGTACCTGTTCCTGGTCGGATATGGCTAGGTACCAGAATAAGATCGTCTCGGACCTCGTGTTCCCTCCCACCCCTCACGAGACCGGCTCGACTGTCGAATACAATCTGGTTACATCTAATAATAACTCACAAAACAGACACCGTTACCTCTTCCCAAATCCCACAGCTATCAATAGCAGGTAGGCACCAGAATTCCCCAAACAAACTTCGGCCCCCAACCGTGTCCGCGCACTCTCTTCCTGGCCAGGGTGTCATCACTCCGTGGATGGCAATGTTTGACTGAGAGCAGGACCACCTTCTAGGTCGCTCTCTATCATCGCTCTTCAACAAGAAGCCGGGCTAGCTCAATCGGCAGAGCGTGAGACTCTTAATCTCAAGGTTGGGGGTTCGACCCCCTCGTTCGGCTTTCTCTTTTTCTTTTTTACCTCATGGAATGCTTGTGGGAAATCTTTTTGCGGTTCAAGGTGGATACAACATATCCACGGTCGGGAGGTCTCCACCTGCAGCCCTACCTAGGTATCCCGACATTTACCGGCTGACAGCCACAGGGCGGAGCCAACGCTCTGGACCAGAACTACGTAGCCAGGTTAACCACAGTGCAATATTCGCAGCCAGGATAGATCCCTGCGTCTTGTGCGACGCTAGGGCGAGACCTCGTATTGCGGTGGTGTTGTGGAAATTGCATCGAGCCAAGAATAGATGCTGGGTTAGGCCAGGAACGGGCCTGCGGGCGGACCACCTGCATTTGAGTTGCACATGGACATGGCAGCAAAGGAAGCGATACCAACACGATCAAGGAATGGACATGTGCACTTGCATTCTATGATAGAAAATATTTTCCCATGTTATTAATTGATAGTATTCAAGTCCCTAGTCTTGATTGCCAATGGAAACTAAGCAGTTCTATCTGTCAAGTGTCTTGCTTTGCAGATATATATTTCTTGCATGTAAACCTGGTATACTCTCCCTGCGTGAACCAATACATACGTACCGGCCTATTTTTGGATACCAATGAAGAACAGCACCAGTTCTCTTCCTGATGTAATACTACTACTATTAACTATCTATTCCATGCTTGTAACTCCAACATTAACAAGTCAGTTACAATTTCGATCCCGCTTGCAAGCTTACAAGAAACACCAAGTGGATAGATGAACAATTTCGAGACACAGTAGTCGAAAGTATATTATATTAAGGTGAACCCTAGGTATACAGAGGGAGTTTTCTCTGTTCTTGTCTTCTGGATGCTAGTTGTGATCATGTTGCTTCTCTATTCTATTCTAGTTCTCACATAGAACGGGTGGTCGGACAGGATACCTAATGAAAAGTTTGGCCAGATCCTGATAGCAGATAATCTACTTTTGCCTCAGTGGATGACTTTCTTGTTTCTCTTTTTATTCTTGGCTATATCACGAACTGCAGTCTTTACTATATTCGTTTTCAGCCTGCATGGTTGTAGCTCTGCTTAAGTCTACTAGTACCCATGTCTCCTCAAGTACAAGCCTAACACCTGGATTATCATATCAGGTCGAGTATCTTCGCTTGTCAGGTGTGAAACTGCTGGAATAGGGTTTTAGGCGGCTTAGTAGTTGACTTGTTGGCAATTTGTGATTTTTTTCTTTCCCATATAAAAGATGTCGCTGCCAAGCCAAACATATCCAGTCTGTACCTAAGGTACCCAGTTCATGACTGGATGTGAAATAGTCCCCCCAAAAGAGCATCACTTGGTTCCACACAATCCTAAGTTACCCAAACACCGGGATATTGCTATAAGCTTATATCTTCATTGCTCAGATGTAGATCCTTCAATTTCCAAAACGAAGGTCATCACCTGCAGCCGGAAGATAAGTACGACACACAGGAAACCAGCAGAGAAGTCCATATATAGATACTTACCAACGCAACCAGCAAATCTTAACCGAACTCTTCCAATTCATTAAATTCACCAAATTCATGATCATCATCGTCTTCAAAGTCATCGGTAACGAGAAAATTCCACTCGGGCTTGAACATGAATGCAATAAACAGTCCCAGGAAGATCGGGGCGTGGATGCATTGATAGGTCTGGTGGTGTGTGGTGTTAGTCCTAGGCTGGAGGCCTGCACTCGAAGTCTGCTCCTGAGTTGTGGGAAAGGGGAGGTGGGCGGAGGGGAGGGGAAGGCCTACATACTGTTGTCACGTCGTAGATGGTTATGATTATGTAGTCGATTATATAGTCCAGGTCTGGCATGGTATGTATATTGGTGATGATGGTGGGGGTTGGATGCTAGATAGAGGTGGTGGTGGTGGTGTTTGTTTCTTGGATGTAGAGAGGTGTTGCGGGGTGATGGCACTGTAGAGCTGAAATGAAATAGAGATGAAGATGGGTAAAGAAGAGGCTGAGAAAGTTGTGTTTACTACAGTATCAAGGGAGCTAATTTAATTATAGCTGGTTGTGGTGAATCTTGGGCCAGGGGATTATATCTCTGAGCAGGTGAAGAATCTTGAAAGTTTTAAAACCCGACATCTCACTCTAGTGCTAAATTTAGAGGCGGATTTAAGCAATGCTTGATCTACACTAGGAGGAAGCAGAGGGGTTTGTTCTATTATTCCAGTACTGTAAACAAAGGATCTCATGATCTAGGCAGATTGAGAGAATTATCTATCCCAGGTCCAGAAGCAGGGACAGAGTGGACCCTGCATTAAAGCTCAGAATATACAGAATCAAGGAGCTCTCATAATTAACAAAAGTCTACTGCATAGCAGGAGGAGTCAAGTTTGTCCTGAAATGGTATGTAGAATCCTGTTCATTAAAATAAACTGTGTTAGATTATCCATGAACATAGATCTTTCTACAGGCTCTGTGAGGTGGAGATTATTCCGAGAAACCAACAATATTGGATGCTGCTCCCCCACCAAGCTGTTAAGGTATTTTGTCTGTGTGTCCAACTATATGTAGATGTGAGCAATAAGCCCAAGATAGGGGCACGGTGCCTGATCTAGGGATCTGGAGCTAACACTCTGCTACCACAACAACTCACTTGTCTCGGGCTTGGAAGAAATACATGAGCCGATGAGCTTCGCAGCAAAGAAGAGCATCATAATCTGTCTGGAATGATTGGAGCCGCGCGGCCACTCGCTCTATGTTGGACAGTGCATTATCAAAGTACCGGGGAGGTGCTCTCGGAAAAACTCACAAGGCTGTTCATATGGAGAGGACTGTATTTTCAGAATAGGACGGGCCGTCGCTGGAGAAGAACATGGCTGAGACAGCAGTTGGTACCGAGAATTAGGTTGCTGCTTTAATTGATTGCTTTGCTTTGTTGACTAATGCCGCTGCTTGTGTTTAACACCTATTTGCAAGACAAGGAGATTGTTGCACTTCCATGGCTGGCTTTCTGTAGGCTGTTTCAGGACAGATAGGTTCCATACATATGCATACGTAGAAGGCCAATACAGCAGTGTCTAATTAGTAGTGCACTGATATTAAGCATCTAATTAATACAGGCTTAGCGCTTTCCTTGCATTATAGAGCAAGTATATCAGAAGGAATCATCAATGGCAAGAACACACCATTCTGCAATAGGTACTTTTTCATTTCTTCAGTCAGTTGCTGAGGAGCTTTATTAACAATTACCATCTGGAGATAGAACCATGTAACGCCTGGATCCAGTCTAAAATGCAGGATTAAAGCTAAGATTGGATTTACAGCTTACTGCCATGCACGTTATCTATGGAGACAGATTCTGAAGGCCAAGTAAACAGTATTTACACCAGTGGCATGGATCTGTAGGGCTCCACTATAAGGCTGCTGAATACTGCATGCGTCTCAGGGCTGAAAAATACTGTCTAACCATCAATGCTATAGTACACTCCACGCTTTACATTTCAATGCACGTAATTCCTTAGCTAGGTGGAGACTCCCCCCGGGGCGCCCACTAGTATCCAGTCTTTAGGCAGGGTGTGAATACAGAGTCCTGTATCCCGTCAGAGGACTCCTTAACAAAGCAGAATTTTACCTTGGGATCTACCAGAGAAATCATTTCAGTGGTTGTCTGAAAAATTAGGCGCATGGTAACGTGCCCTGACTCGGGATCCTTGGATGTGCAGAGGTGCTCCCAAAATAGCATCGGGACCCATAGAACGGAATCTGCTGCGGTACGAATACGCTCAGAATTACCGCTTCAGGAATGAAGCCCTAAATCAATGGTTCTTGGCGCCTTGTTGCAATGAGAATATTTAAGCCTGAACAATCCAACTGGATACTGAAATCCAATAATCTAAAACTTTTTTTTAAATTAAACATTGTCTTCATTAAAATGATGGATGCGAAGCCAACTATGACCGCCAGCTCATCACGTCCTTCCCAGGATGAGCCTCCTCCTTACTCACCTCCGCCTATACCAGAGACACCAAACATATCAGAATCAACACCTTCACTAGAAAATACAGCCAAAGATGACAACCAAAATCCCGCTATCTACAGGCTTTTCCCCCTCCACACAGTCCTCCGAATCCTCCAATTCCTCCTCGCAATAACCATCTCAGCCCTCTACGGCGTCGACCTCCGCCACGCAACAAAAGCCCACGTCCCCGCCCCCTCAGAATGGATCTACGCCGAGGTCGTCGCCTGCCTCTCCGCAATAACCTGTATCGTGCACTGTGCCGTGACCACATCCCGAGTCTGGTCGTGCATCTGGGACGTGGTTCTTTTCGTCCTGTGGCTGGCGCAGGTGGGCGTTTTTGCGAATATTTATTATCCGAGGACCCGGGAGGGATACGGGGAGGGGCCCGGGGAGGCTACGACTTCAGTGGAGAGGATGAGAGGGGCGATGTGGGTTTGTGTGGTGAGTTTGGTGCTTTCGTTGGGGATGGTGGTGTTTGGGGTCGGGGGGTGTTTTGGGAGGAGGAGTGGGAGAGGGGTAGAAGGGGGTGATGTGGAACAGGGTGGGGGGAGGAGGTTTTGGGAGGTTTGTGGGAGGCGACGAAAGGGTGTTGCAGGGGAGGAGAGTGGAGAGCTTGAGAGGGGGTTCGTTGAGGTTGGTGAGGTTGGTGATCATGGGCTGGCATTTCAGAAGTGTGTGGTCGATGGGATGCAGAAAGAAAAGGAGGGACTGGATAGGGAATAAGGGGGAGAACAGAACAGATGCTAACGGCCGTTGATGGTACAATATGGAGGCTTTCATTGGGGCCTTTGAATACTAGGAGAGGATGAAGAAGATGTAGCCATTGTCAAGATGACCGGATACCTGGGGTTGAAGATGCCAGTTGTGATTATCAAAATAGACTATTTGACTTTCATGATGATTACAACGCTTGCTGGATACCAGCCTGACATGTTTCGGTCTCCTTTGGTAATGCCTATAAAGCACCGTGGACCTTAGTAGGTACCTGGTATCCTGAAATATTGCGTGCCTTAGGCTTGCA